CAACCTTATAATGTGGCCATCCCCAATTCGTTTTGGCAGCTTCGCTTTGCAATACCGATGTTAAAATATCTCTCAATACCAGTCTCTAATCACAAAGCTCAATCCACTGCGACAATGTCCGTTCACCTTTTCGAGAATCTACCACCTGAAGTACTATTCGCCATTTCGGATTATCTTGAGCCAGATGATCGAAAGAACCTCAGCCTGGCCAATTCCGGGCTTCGGACCGCAGTGGCGCCATGTCTCTTCAAGGCGCTACGAGTCGATTGTCCGCTTGTAGAGGATCACATCTTGCCAACTATCGTCAACAAATATGGAGCGAATATTCTGGAATTAAGGTTGAATGTTACTTTCTACCCCGAGGAATCGACTGAGACGGCGGATGAGGAAGAGGAAGAGGAAGAAGAGAGTGAGGATGAGTCGTCTGATGTGGATATGTCAGAGGATGAGGAAGGGAATGACGGCGAAGAGTCTAGATCAGAGCCCGAAGGACCAGACGAGCGCGTCAAAGACGGCGAAGAGGAGGAAAAGGAGGAAAGCGACAATGACGATTATCCTGATAGATGGTGGTACTGGTCAAACCCTCCCGCATCAGTCTGGGCCCGAAAAGAAGCGGACACATCAATCATCCAGGATCTCATCCAATTCAAGGGCCTACCACGCTGCAGAGCCCTGACGATACACACCAATGGAGAAAAGAACTTTGAGCTCGATGCGGACTGGGACAACAACGATATCGGCAAAAACTACATCTACTTCTGCTGCGAGCCCGAAAGTTGGGAAGATGTTGAGCGAAAGGAACGTAGATATTCATGGCGTGCAGCCTTACGGGATATGTACCGTGATATCGCTACGCTTTCGCCAGTCGATGAGTTTACCATTTTGAACTTTCTCCCGCGAAAGACTTCGTTCTGGCAGGAAAAGGAATGGTCTGAGTTTCTGGGCCGGTTGAAGAAGTTGACGCTCAATACGTATGGTGGTGACAATGGCGCTGGTTGGCAGGCTAACACGTTACCTGGCTTTCACGCTTTCTTCAACGAGTTGCCGACCAATGTTCTCGGTCATGCGAACGCGCTGGAATATTTTAAACTCAAGACTCATGATGATGGCTTTCTGGGCGGCGAAGGCTCGTTGTACATACCTCCTGGTTGCATGCCATCGTTGAGATCGTTGCACGTAGACGGTATAGCGGTGACCTCTGTGCTGACAGATTACCTCAAAGCAACAAACGGCACACTGTCTAGACTCTGCATCACTGAATGCGTGGCGTTTAGTTCCGATCCCAATGGCGACGATGCACCAAGGTGGGCTGATCTGTTTAAAGCTGCGCGTCAGGCCCTGAAAGCACCTGCGGAGGTCATCTGTGTGCCGACCAAGGAACGACCTATCACGGAAGATGAAGGAGATTACTATGGCGACGAGGCTTATACGCCACCGGCTGATGAGAATGACAAGATCAAGAGTTGGAGAAAGAAAGTCAAAGAGGAGGAAGGGCTTTGTATTTGGCCGTATGGTTGGCTGGATGAGAAGTATGGATCTATCTTTCCTGACCATGAGGTGAACCTTGAGCGTCTTGAGAGTGGGGAGGATAATTTGGAGTTCAAGGTGCTGATGGAGGAGGTGAAGAGGGGAGGCGGTAAGTGTACAGTCTCTTGAGCGGTAGATGCATGGCTGTAGCATGAGAGGTAGACCAAGAGACAAGAGCATATATCGTCGGTTTCTGATTCTACAGAGGGTCTTTCCAACTAATGCTGACTTCCATATCGCCCAGTGCCCCAGCGGCAGATGCAATGCGAGCCATGACAAACGTGATACAATGATAGACCCCGAAGCGGAACCACAATGAAAAGTTCATGCTTTTCAACGATGTCTTGATATCCACCAATAGTTCCCGTGTACTCCTCCCTTCTCCTGCCTCGTCTATGTCAGGAGCGGCTTCGACGCCCGCGACCGTGTGTGGAACACTGATAACCGCGTGTATGATCTGCAGCGTGAAGAAGACACTGAGGGTCATCATTCCCAGCGTCGTGGTGTTTTTCTTTGACCATTCCTCAACGACATCGACACCTCTTGCCAACAGCAAGAGCAGGCCGAGCTTGCAGACAAGGTCTGGTATCTCGACGACAACATTGCAAGCTAATAAGGTACCAATGAAGTGAAACCATTGCTTAGCTGTGACGCAACGAAGAAGTCTGATGTTTGAGCTGAGAAGTATTGGATGCTCGGACATGATGGATCGAATCCACAGGAACTTCAGGGGTGCGGTGATGATTGTTGTAAAGCATTTCGTAAGGAAGGGCGGGAGAAACTTTTGCAGGTAGGACTCGAGAGCGGATTCTGCAGCCACGCCAACAAGCCATGTTCCCAGGCCTTTGGTGGGATATATCGTCGACCAAAACGATGTGTTCTTCGTTCGACCTAGAATGCCTGCCGTTCCGTCTTCAGAGGTTGAGGGTTTGAGTGAGCGGACGTGTCGCAGCGCCGTAAGCAAGGGGTAATAGTCTTGATATCCGTAGAGCCCCTATTCACGTCAGCTTCAATCTCATAGAGGTGTCATGATACGCACTGCGTAGAGAAACCATTGGACGGCGTAGTCCAGCGCACCCAAAGGATTCATTCCACTGGTGTCGCGTTTCAGGACGATTTTTGTTTTAACTATTCAGGACTGATGCTGCGTGAGCTTATACGTGAGTCAGCTGCCGAGACGATGAGTTAACAGGCTTAAAAGGATGCATCATGGCACGTAAAACGTGGCTCATCGGTCAATATTGCGTAGCTGAAGGATTCACGGACATTTCCCAAAGCCTCATTTGTCCGTAAGCAATTGGCCGAATTGTGCTGCCTAACACTTGAGGCTGAAGGAAATAGACGCAATTGGCTGGCCTATACGCGCAGGGAGGGCGACTAGCAGCCTTCTGGACCGGAACTTTAGTAGCGGGGCCTTGGCATGGAACCACTGACGAAGCTTCCCTGCATCATCATCCGCTTGCTGCACATCCTCAGTCATTCTTATCTGGGCCAATCCACGGCTCATCGGGACAACCATATCATCCGTGGCTTCTTGTTACCAAATGGATAGGTCTATACGCGCGGAGCGCGTAAGAGCGTTCTCCCGCAAGACTCGTACAGGTTGTCTCACGTGGTAAGTCCCGCATACAATCCGCTTTTCTCCCTCTTTGACCTATTGATTCAAGATACAGTAAGAAACGACACAAGAAGTGCGACGAGGAGAAACCCACTTGTAAGAGATGCAAGGATGGAGGGTATGTCTGCGATGGATATACACCCCAATCAAAGGCCGTCACGACAAAGACGCAGAGCCGCTCTCTGCCAATTCTAGCTGCCAAGGTGTCGACTCCAACGGTGCCTCTGCTACCGGGCGATACGCTCGAGTCGAATTACTACGTTTACTTCTTCTCTGATATCATCAGCCAGTTGGAGATCACGCCATATCTGAATAGGGAGTTCTGGAAGAGGAATATTCTTGTTCCGAGTCAAAGTAGCGAATGTGTCCGGCATGCGGTGTTGGCTTTGGGGGCGACGCATTGGCAGTATTCAGTGCAGAACCAATCATCAGCTCCGTCGCTTGATCGATTCGTTTTGAAGCATTACAATGAAGCTATTTCGAAACTCACAAGCAACCAAGAGTCGCCGCCGGACATGTCAACGGTCCTGACATGTTGCATATTATTCGTTATTCTTGAAAGTCTTCGTGGGGACTTTGGCGAAGCAGTTCGACATCTCGAGTCTGGAACTAGAATCCTCACAAACCATGTCCCAAAGACATACTTCCCCAACCGCGATTTCCAGGAACTGGCTGCAATATTCCACGCAATCGCCTGCCAAGTCGCCATCTTCTCACCCGAGCGCGTCTTCCCAGACGTGACTCATCTCTTAATGCCAGCGGGGGAAGAGCAGACGCGAATCGAGAGAGAATTCAGGAATCTTGACGAAGCAGAAGATGTCATGAATGAGTTTGACGACATAGTGACCTATATTTCCTGGGATCTTGATCAGGAATGGGAGAATGAAGAGTCAGAGTGTAATACGCAATGGTCGATGTTACAAGAGAACGTACAAGCTTGGAAATACCAGTTCGAAATTCTCGTGAAGAAGTTGTCAGCTGGCAAAGAGCCTATTGACAGCGAAAAAGTTCTTAATCTGAGGATACAGCATAAACTATGGGAACTTCTCATTGAAGAGCAATCCTGCGTTGACGAAGATGTCGAAGCTCATCTTGATCCCGCCGAGTGCAATATTCTGCTTGATCAACTGGAGAAACTATGGTGCAACCCATCCCGACCACGCTTCGGTCTCAAAATCGATCTTACCGCCGCTTTGTTCCAACTCTACGTGTACTGCACGGACGAAAATGTTCGGCACAGGATTATTTTCATGTTGAGGGCGCAGAGCAGGAGGGAGATTATATGGGACAGTGGCCAATTAGCGGATTTTCTGGAAAACGACATGGTGTTGCGAGCTGCTGGATTACAGACGGAACGATGGCCTGAGATAGGACCCTCAGCGAATGACGGAGCATTGTTGGTGTTTCGCCCAAAGAGCTCAAGGGAAAGTTCCGAATCTTAATTGATCTCAGATCTAATGTATTGCACATTCCGGGATGAAGCGGCTCCATTGAAAGGGCTAGAGCATGTCACCAAGTGGGGGGTCTTTGTACGCGCTGTCTAATCAGGTGCTGACGTCAAAGCGCTAATGAATCGTGGCTGGCATTGCTTGTCAATGCGGCTGAGGGCCTGCTTATATTGAGGATCTGTACGCACTTTGAGAAGCGATTTGATGAGCTGTACGCCATGTCGTGCCGAGATGCGGGAGGCGACTTGTCTGGAATGCTGACCAGAGGCAGTTTGGATATAAATATGCCTGCCGAGACCACTGAAAGAGCTTCGGAACCCAAATCAACACCATCGACTCTAATTCACAAGCACAACAATCGCCCAACTCAGAACACCATGCACTTCAGAAGCCCATTCTCCGTCGCAATGGCTATCATCTCCTACGGAGTATCAGCCACTCTGTGCGCACAAGCACGTCCCAAGGCAGTCGTATACCGCGGTCCAGCCTCATCAGAAGGTTGTCCTGAAGGCGTCCGCGACCTCTTGGTCTCCTCCCCATCCAACTTTGAGGTCGTCTTCGCTGGTCCAAATGAGCCAATCGATGTGATCGAGGCTCTCAAAGGCGCAACGGTGTATGCCCATGGCGGCGGACCGAACTGGAGCAAAGCATATCGCTCCACAAAGAAATATGAAAAGGCTATCCAAGAATTTGTCAAATCCGGGGGTCATTATCTTGGCTTCTGTCTTGGCGCTTATCTCGCGGGTCCGGTCAATGGGTATAATCTTCTTCCCAAGGGCGTTGATACGGAGCAGGAGATTGAGCGTCGAGGGGCGCAGGTCAAGGGCCAGGAAGATACGGTTATCAACGTTGATTGGACTTTTGAGTCGGGAACGACGGAGCATAAGAGATGGTTGTATTTTCAGGATGGTGTTGTGATTAGGGGTATGGATGCGAGCAAGCCAGGGAAGATTGTCGGAAGGTATTCTGCGAACGGAGATGTTGCTGCTTCGATTACGCCTTATGGGAAGGGCTCGGTTGGACTTGTTGGACCTCATCCTGAGGCTGATCATACATGGTGTAAGTCTTGACCGCCGATGTGCTTTGGCTGAGAAGACCTGCTAACTGTCTCGCAGATGAAGGAGCGGGGATTAAGAACCCTGAGGGTATCAGACTTGATATTGGGCATGATTTTGTCGAAGCTACTATTCATGCAGGTTCTGGCAAACGCTCTTGATTCAAGTGTATATTATGCAGTAAAGGTCTCGGACTTGGCTGCACAGACAAGCATGGGGAATGGCAGAGGCCATAGCAAGCATAACATATCTTCTTCTCTTTTAGTCTTTTATAACGCATTTCATTGTTGATTCGCATTTTCAACACTCGATAGCTATCAATGTACTCATATTCACAAATAAATTGGTTTACAAGAAGTGAAAATTTTCATTAAGCTAGGAGATTCTCTAAGCATGTGTTAACAAGACCAGCAAAGCCAATCCATCAGTCTAAAAATCCACACCAAGGTCAAAGCACGGGCTCATTGCATCCGCAGCTTAGTGCAGACCAACAGCAGATCGGATGGAGTCAATGAGGATGTTGTTGTAGTCGCCACCAGCCTCGTAGGTACCGAATCCAGCGAGCTTGTGCTTGAGAACGAACTTGCCCTTGTCGTAGAAAGAAGCAGCGTTGTCGTAGCTGACATAGATCTCACGCTTGGCATCATAAAGAACAGGCTATTCAAGTCAGTACTATATCCATGTATTTCCAGGTGCATGACTTACTGTCTGACTGCAGTTGTCCCAAGCAGAAGCAATACCAGAGGCAGGGTTTCCCTTGGTATCGAGGAAGTGGGCCTCCTTGATCAAGCTCCAGAAAGGATAGGTGCCTCCAGGAGGGTTGGGGTTACCGCAAGCATCGATGAGAGGATCGTTGTCCCAGCTGCTTCCCTGGAAGCGGTCGGTAGAGTTATGGGCGGGGTACAGCTGGAGCTTGTGGTTCTTGCTCTTGCCAAAGGCGGAGGTGCTGTTAATCTTGAAGCCGTGGCCGTAGTTAGGAGCGCCGAGGACGAGCTGGGAGGCGGGCATGCCGGCGCCGGTCCACTGGGTGATGGAGTCCTCGGCGGCGCCCTGGTCGTTGCGGGGATCGCACTTGCGGTAGAGAGGGGAGTTGGGGCCGGCGACGGCGGACCAGGCACCGTAGTAGTCGTAGTTCTGAAGGTGTTAGTCTAGATCAAGTTTGGTGAAAGGGCAAAGTTGCATACCATGAGCATGATGTAGTTGATGACATCAGCAAAGCCACTGACATCCTTGGAGGCGACACCAGTCCTGTCGTTCCAGGGGAAGACGGATCCAGCGGCAGTGATGTAGTAGTTTTTACCCTTGGGATCCTTGCGAATCTCCTTGAAGAATTCGAGGAGGTTGGCGGTGTCGTTCTCGTTGATATCATTACATCCGAGACCCTGGCGGTTGGGATACTCCCAGCTGAATTCCGTCAGTCACAATCTTGGTGTTTCAGGGAGCATCAACTTACTCAATGTCAAAACCCTCGAAGCCATACTTCTCAACAAAGTTGATGACATTCTTGACGAAAATAGTACGGTTCTTGGCAGAGCCGATGTTGGTGGAGAAATGTCGGCTTCCAGTCCAACCACCAATTGAGATGAGAGGCTTGACGTTCTAGAAACATTGTTAGCAAACCCAATCTTGTAGATATCGTGGTTTCTCGATAACATACATGCTTCTTAGCATCCTTGACGAAGCAAGGAATGTTCTCAGGCTGCGATCCAGAAACATTGAGTGATCCATCAGGCGAGGTCTCACTGCATCCCATTAGCCCTCTTCATCCCCAATCACGACATAGAATACATACGCAAAAGCATATTTCACATCAGTGTACTTGTCCCAAGGCATAGCCGAGACAGGAAATCCCCTATTGGCGTGGAACCCCGCAAAGTAGGTCGAGGCAACCAAATACCCCTCACTGTTAACAGGGGGGATGACGCTGGCGCTACCAAGGCTCAGCAGGCCTACAAGCGAGGCCGAGATGGCTTTGAAGGATGGCATTGTTGCACTGTTAATTTACCGAGGAAAAAAAGAGCGTAAGAAATGAAATGAGTGAGAGTGATGAGAATCGGCTAATTGATCGGGGGGTAAGCAGCGGGTTATATATGTTTGTCGTTATTAACGTTGCATTACAATGCTACTCTAATAAGCTTTCTGAACAATTTCAGCGCATCGCAATAACAAAAACGTATGAGCTGCCACCGCAGAACAGAGCATTAAGCCTCAATGCCCAGCGCCCGTCGCAGCGGCAGTTAAAATCCCCTGAATTGAAGCGCTAGTGCAAAGTCTATTCCCTTTGACTCCCCGCTTCTAGAAAGCTTCCTCCCCTGTCATTTCCGCATCTGCCGGGCTACGTTCGTGCTTTTTTGCTGAGGCTGTCTCATGTTTTAGGCCCCAAGCATAGGGGACGCGTTGGCTGACCATTTCCAGACAGGTTGGATGCTACGTCATTGACTGTCGCTTACATTACCGAGAGAGAGGATAGATCTGATGGCGCTGCCACTGGTGGTTAAAATGCTACTGTGCCGTGCCGTTGACGCGTATGATGTGACGGTGTAATTGAAGATACGGGAACTTTATGGGTGGTAAACTTCATCTCATTTACTGTGAGGGTAATTCTTTGGGCACAGGTGATTCAAAAAGGTCCGGTTTTGCCGTGTTGTGGTTGCAGTGGGTTAACTACCGTTCCAAAGGGCCGGGGGATCTTCACTGAGGAGAGGTCTGTTTTAACCGCTCGGCACGTATGCTGGAGGGTATCGCGAACACGAAACGGCTGTGATGGCTTGGGATTGGATCACGTACGGGTGATGAACGGAACTTGTTTTCTCAGGAGTGAAAGAAAGCATCTCCGTCAAGGTGTGAAGAGTCTCGTGGTCATCCGACGCGTCAACAGTCGCGTATCAAACGCGTAAGAACGACGTTCGGAGAATTTTACCACTGCGCTTCCCGGCGATGTAATAATTGAGATGACAAGATCAGATAAAACAGGCGATTAATTCTGTACCACGTACCTCTTGCGCGACCTCCTGTTTTGTCGTGCGAGTACAGGCGATGCCTCCGGGTCAAATTATCCCGGAATTGCCGGCGCATGAACCCCGGGCATTGGCCTTCATCCCTTTTTGTCGGCACGATCCGGCATCCCACCGTTAAAATCCCACTGCCAAGAATAGACACTGTCGATCGTTTCACGGGGTAGAATGATTGGAGGCCAATGCGAGGTTTCTACGGATGGTGAAACGTCAAAGCCAGGCAAGAGTTGAGCCCGTTGGTAAGAGGGCTGGGTGGAGCAACTCCACGTTGGGTGGTTAAAGTAAGGTGATTGAAAACATTCGGGCTGACATCAACGGCTTCATCAATGGTGAACGCCGAACGGTAAGCTCGCTTTTATGGGCTTGAACTTTTTTCTTATCTCAATAGTCTTTTGTTAAACGTTCTAGTAACCCTTCCAACGGTTTGCGATACATTTATTTGAGTTCGCTGCATTCTGAAAAGGTCTAGGGTAAGCAACCCAGCGAGTCAGCCATTTTGGTCACCTCGGGATCTCTTGCCCATTGCGCAGCCCTCAATTCTTCCCCACGCACTAACAATCAGCTTGCCTGTGGGGAAGACGATTCATCCTTATCTCGACTCCAGCGATGATAGCCGTCACTCTAACTGTCCATCTGGGGACGGCCTAGTCTCACTGTCGGGTTCACTATCTTTCTTGATGTTGTTTCGGCACTTCCGGGCTGTTATGCTGACGGTTTAGCCCGGCATTGACTGATAGCTGTTCGCTAAACTCTTTGGGAAACTGGCATATTTCTGGAATTGAAGACGTAAACTGGTATTTAGATCATGATGACTGAAATGGAAAGATGTGAGTCTGGGAAACAAGTAACAGTTTCCGAAAGACTTGTGTATATAAACTCTCATGAAGTCAGCATTCAATACACTTCATCACTTACAATCACAACCATCTTCAGTCTGACTTCACTTACACTTCTTCTCCATCACTCTCATCAACATCACCAACCTCCAAAATGGCCGCCATCAACGTAGACACCCTCGACATGTCCCTCTTCTTCGGCACCCCCTCCCAGAAGCAAGACTTCTGCGACTCCCTCCTCCGCCTCCTCAAGAAGCGCGGCGGCGTCAAACTAATCAACCACCCCATCCCCTCCACCGCCATCCACGAGCTCTTCGCCCAAACAAAGCGCTTCTTCAACCTGCCCCTCGAGACAAAAATGCTCGCCAAGCACCCTCCCCAGGCAAACCCCAACCGTGGATACTCCTTCGTCGGCCAGGAAAACGTCGCCAACATTAGTGGCTACGAGAAGGGCCTTGGACCGCTAAAGACTCGCGATATCAAAGAGACTGTGGATTTTGGATCGGCGACTGATGAGCTTGTCGACAACCTTTGGGTTCCAGAAGAGGAGTTGCCTGGGTTTAGAGGCTTCATGGAGGAGTTTTATGAGATGGCCTTCAAGACGGAGATGCAGCTTCTTGAGGCGCTTGCTATTGCTCTTGGTGTTTCTCCTGATCACTTGAAGGCGCTGCATAACCGTGCTGAGAATGAGTTCCGAATCCTGCACTACCCTGCTATTCCTGCTTCAGAACTCGCAGACGGAACAGCAACCCGCATTGCAGAGCACACTGATTTCGGCACCATCACCATGCTTTTCCAAGACTCTGTCGGCGGTCTTCAAGTCGAGGACCAAGAGAACCTTGGAACATTCAACAACGTTGAATCTGCTTCTCCCACCGATATCATCCTCAACATCGGCGATTCTCTGCAGCGATTAACCAACGATACTTTCAAGGCTGCGTGTCATCGCGTTACGTATCCTCCTTCTATCAAGGCTGGTGATGGCGAGCAGGTCATCCCTGAGAGATACTCTATCGCTTATTTTGCTAAGCCTAACCGAAGTGCTTCTCTGTTCCCACTGAAGGAGTTTATTGAGGAGGGTGTTCCTTGTAAGTATGAGGATGTTACTGCTTGGGAGTGGAATAACCGCCGCATTGAGAAGTTGTTCTCTGCTGAGGCCAAGGCTTAAAATGGGAGACGGGATCCAGATTGATAGTTTATAGCATAGCGGAATTTTATTTACTACAGTATTGTCCCTATCTCAGTTGTCTGCATCATCGTGATTCCACAGATCGAAACAAGGTTTGTTGCCTTTTGGCTCTTACAGACTGCCAGTTATGCTCTGGAACTCTACCTCCTCTATTTTGAACTTGCATCATTGCATACTCATAATTTCTCAATACTTGGAGTACTTGATGCCATTCTAAGATAAGAGGTCGATCTAAATCATGTCCAGGTATCCACAACTTACAACCGACTAACGCCCTTTGTCTTGTCTTTCCCAAATCTCCACCAAAAATGCCACTATCGCCCGTCACGCGGAGAAGCAATCTCGAAGCCTCAAGCCTCACACTAGAGCACTTTAGCTCCCTCCCCCAACCTATCAAACACTCCCGATTCTCTCCCTAGGTTCTAATTCGCCAATCCCCGTCGCACTCGCCGATAAGCCCCCTCCCAAAAAAGCAAGCAATCCCGATCCCCTTCCTCTTAAGACAAACCCTCACTCCCCCATCTTCAACTGAATTAGTATCGATCCAAACGAATTAGTATGTCCAACACCAAATCCAGACGAACGCACTCTTTCGGCGGGTGCAAGACATGCCGGAAACGTCATCTCAAGTGTGATCAGTCGCTGCCGAGGTGCAATCGCTGTAAGCAGGCGGGACTCAACTGTGAGGGTTTCACGCCGGCGCTGAGATGGTTGGTTTCGACGGGGAGGGAGGTTTATGATAGACAGCCTACGCAGATTGCTGATGTTGGGGCGGAGCAGTATTCGAGAAGGCATTTGTTTACTGGTATGTGAATCGTGTTATGGATTGGGCTGGACTAATTTTGTAGAGGAGGATAGGGAGCTCATGAGCAATGCTCTTGTTACGAATGTTCCGTCGACGGTGACGGCTGCTTTGAACCAAATCGATGAAGAGTCCAAAGGGTTGGATGTTAAAGACGATGTAGCGAATACCTGCGAAGTTGGTCCTTTTCAGGTCTTCAAGTTCGAAACAAGTCAGTCCGCTACAACGCCTTCAGACCATGTCTCATTCAACGACATGGATCTCGACACTCTTTCCGAGAACCAGACCCAAGACTTTTCAGAAACCATCGAAAGCGATCAAATTGCCTCTAATGACTTCTCAACCACGTCCCTTGACTTCCTCCACTGGGGTGATTTATTCACCTGGGATGTCAGCGTTCTCGACAATCCCCCTCAACTCCCCTTCGACAACTTCGATACTCTGCCCATGAATCTCAATTGGCCTAATGAATCCAACATGGGCTTCTCTGAATCTCTGGACATTGTGTCTTTTGACACAGCAAGCGATGACGTTGCATGGCCACAGCTTGATCTCATGATGGACGCACCTCTTCTTCTGAAGCACTTCAACGACGACGTCATCAGCCACATGGGTTCTCTCCCCATCAACGAAAAGTCAGCTTGGAAGACTCTTCACTATCCTTCTGCTATAATGACGCTGAGCGAGCTGACGATGCTGGATGTGGACAGAGATCAGATCAAGCGTGCTAATCTGGCTACTTTTTACGCTTTGATAGCTGTTTCGTCATTCCACCTCTCTCTCAACTCCATCACGTTCCCGAATCTAGCTCGACCTGGCGATCACTGGAAATCGCTTTCAAGTAGGACATATGAAGCTGCGAAACAACATCTCAAAATCAGTCTTGAAAAGGAATCGCAGCCTGGACCGCATAAGGCGAAATACAAGGAGCAACTGATGGGTATAAGTGCCGTGCTAGCGACAGCAGTACGTTCCCCTACTACCATACACTACTACATAGACTAACCATGATAGCTTCTCTCCGGCAATGAAACAGATACCCGTTGGTGTCTCACGGAAATGGAACGCCTCATAAGCTGGCGCGGCCTCACCAAACCAAGTATATCCCGCCGCGCCCGCCTCCTCCACAACATCTACGCCTGGATGCGCATCGTCTCCGAGAGTCTAAACGTATACCTCGACGAGAACCACGCCATTGAAACACCCTTCCGCACGACAATCTCACGCTCCATCAATCCCGAAATGACTCTCGATAACTTCCTGCATCTCGAACCGCGAAAACTCCATGGTCAGAAGACGAAGCGCGATATTAAAGATATTCACCTCGCAGATGCGTCGCAGGATCATGAGAACATGTATATGCAGATCTACGGTGTTCCAGAGACGTGGCTCAGTCTGGTGTCGCAGATAACACGCCTCGCCAACGTAATGGATCGTCTGTCCGCCTCTAAAAAGTCCGACGCAGAAGCGCTCATGGCATTACAGCCGCGCGCTTCATACCTCGAAAACGCAGTCTGTCTCTTCCGCTCGCGTCACAACGAGAGCACAACCATGAGCGCCAGTCCCAGCGCCCCAGGCGGAACACCGCACATGCACATGGTACGCGCCCTCGCCTCCGCGCTGGTGATATTCTTCTACCGTCGCATTCGCAATGTTAATCCCTTGGTTTTGCAAGATAGTGTCAATGATGTTGTTGAGTCGTTGCACGCGTTTGATGAAGCGCTGGAGAGGAATAATCTGCTTGGCCCTGGGACGGCGTGGCCTGCGTTTATAGCGGGGGCGGAGGCGAGGGCGAGACAGAGGAGGGATATAGAGGAGTGGTTGGATAAGGGGTTTGGGAGGAGTGGGTTTGAGAGCTATAGGGCGTCGAAGGAGGTGTTGGTGGAGGTTTGGAGGAGGAGGGATGAGGCGGAGGGGATGCCGTCTGGCGATGTTTGTACGTGGATGGAGGTTTGTAGGGATTTACGTCGGTGGCCATTGGTGTCATAGTCACTGGATAATGATTACGAAGTTATGATAATCGTGTCAAAGTTGTATTGATCGTGGCCGCATTATTTGGCTTTGAACTGTTGCTCGCAGCCCTGGAGTGACTCTCTAACTTGGTGTACAGCAGCACGCCCAATGTTGGCCAGACAGGAGTAGCTGACCCTCTTTGCGTGCCGGTTATGGCTATCGAAAGACAAGCACAAAAAGGCCCGTACCTAGTGAACTCAATCAATAATTGATCGGCCGATGTGCAGGTCCCCAGAGGCCTCGATGTATGTCTGAGCCGTGTCATGGAAGATTAGCTCCAAAATGTCAGATGGGACTAGTCTTGATGGCACTCGTGAGGTGTTATCCTTCGTTTCGGAATCGGTCGTCGGTCGCTTTGGAGAGAGGATGTTCGTCCATGCTATTATGGATAAGTCGGCGGTGCTATGGAAACGTGGCAATGGTTGGTTCGAGTCGTCGTGATCAGACAATGGTATCAGCGCAAGGCTCCTTGCATTTTGCGAAGATCCGGACCGCCTGCAAAGACAGCGTTGGTGGACACGGCTTCAGCGACTGGTAGGGTTGATCGTCTCGAAGGGGTCAGCGTATATGGACGAGTTGCGGGCATCGCGTGCCTTCTGTGATCAATATCGGCAACGTTCCATCATGGCTTTTGATGCATGGCTTCGAACAGTGGAGTAGGTTATTGGCGTGACTAGTTATCGCAACCCGACTGATTGATCTTGACCAAATGTCAGAGCCTTTGTAGGCCAAGCTTCGCAGCACCAGCTATTGGGTCAATCTTCGCGAAGGCTGGTTCATAGACGTTGAGCATTGACGAGCGATCCTGAGTTCCGATCTAGGCGCGTCCCGATGCTGGATAGTAAAAGTACCGACACGTTTGGGATAACGAAGGATGGGCTTAGCAAGCTCTTTCTGGCCTTTCAGCGTCCAAAGAGCTTGCAAAGTTCATCCCCCCATCATCCAAACTTGTCTACTTGCAGGCTCATCCAACCTCGGTGGGCTGGAACCCATCGAGAACATTCGCCCTAAACCAAGGAACGTAGACATCTCTCGCCCATCTAGCCAACTCCCGTATCCCCGCGACAACAGCATACGTATCAAGAATACTCTGCGTCGTGCCAAACTGTCTCTCCGTCCAAAGAACAGTCTTGTCGCCCTCCAACGTCGAAAACACAAACAGCCAGCGATGGCCCTGCACGATGATCCCCGGTATAAACCCCAGTTCCCCCAAAACCTCGTTCGCCTTTTGGTTGCGCAGTATTTCCTCCTCTGCTGTCAGGGGCTGTGATGTAAGGCCAATAACGGAGCGGAGGAAAGCCCACTGCGCGGCATGCCAGACTCCCATTTGGAGCTGCGCGGCGTCGAGTTCTTTGCCGGGACGCTTAGTCTCGATGCTCAGAACTATGGGGGATAGTTGCAGCGGCGCGAAGTCGGTGTGGTTTACGGTCAGGGTTGGTGTTCGACGGCCGAGGGCTTGGAGGGCGGGGGAATCGGAGGGATTGAGGTAGAGGCAGAAGTCAACCATTTTGGCAGTCGAGGAGTAGGGCACGAAGCGACGATGTGGACGAGCGGTGGTGCTGGAAAAGAATTAGCTGGAAGACTGGTGATGCAGAGGTCGGAAAGCTTACCAGGAAGTGAAGTTGAGAGACTCGGCGGTTGAAGCGTCAGGTTGTCTCAGGATAGCTTGGAGAAGACGATGATGCACCTCCATATTCCAAGCCGCCTCTTCATGATTTGTATCATGACAGTAACGCGCCAAATCGCAGATCTGAGCTATTTCCCCTGGGAGAGGAACTCGTCCTGGTAACGTATCGTCGCCCTCTTTGAATGCAAACCTCCACAAGCGCGTATTCTGTTCCCTCACAAATGGGCTCTCCAGAATAGCACTCTTCTTGTCAACAGGCAATATCTCAATCCTACTCCCGATTTCCTGAACTGTATCAAGAAGACTGGAGATGACCGGGGGCGCGGTGTCGACATTTAATTGTCTGCATTCAAGCCCTCTTTCCTCCAGCCTCAGCCTGAGCATTTGTTTCTTTGGCGAACTCGACCGCGACCCCTCCCCTGATTCAGACCACGAAGCGGACGAACCGGCTGACGAAGGGGGAGGGAGGTTTGCAGCGCGCGGTGTACGATCTGGATCGATGAGGCGACGGCGCTTTGGAGTTGTTCCCTCCATTGAATCTGAAGTAGGCGGACTAGGCAGCGCTGCCTTTCGCTTGGGGGTCTTGGAGAGGGATTCGGATGGGACGTATTCATCGGGGAGGGAGTCGAGCCAAGCTGCTACACGCTGTTCAAGCATGTTGGCGTAATTTTGACATGATTTGATGATGGATTCGTTTGATGGGCATTTTTAGAGATCGATGCTTGAAGCTGGAGCTGATGTCACAGAGGGTCGTAGGTTGGCGCGACAACAGCCCCACTGTATTGGATTTGCAGCGACGCTGATTTTATGGTTGATCATCAACTGCCGTTATGTTTTGAGAAGCCCAAGACTTTAAAAGACTGATATTATACATAACAGTGTTTGTCTCTATAAACTGACTAGGCACTTGATTGAAGCCCATCTGAAGAGACCGCGTTGAAGGATAGAAAGTGACTGTCGAATACGGGGAGCCAAGAACCCGGAGCCGATTGAACGGAGCTGTGATCTTGGCAGTATCAAGAGAGTTTGGTCTAAATTAATTAAAGTCTATCTAATTATGCACATGCCAATCGTATTCGACATGCAATTGATCTGTTGATATTTATTTCTGCCAGTAGAATTCTACGCGGTTCACCACGCAATGTCCGACATCGCCCTAAGGGTAATGGCTGGTCGGATGACTGCATCCGTTCGCCCGATCCTCAAACTACAAGAATTAGAAAACAGCAGCAATTGCACGAATAAAATCTCATTAACATATCTCTTCGCATTGGGTATCATTAACTAACTATCCCGCCATAAGCGCTTTCCCACATTGCTCCTCAAACATTCTCCAAATACCGTATTGTACATTTCGACGTCTCAGGCGATGACCTCGCAGGCATCTGCACACCCGCGGAAGATGGCAGGCTCTGTAGATCGTAAAAGCCAAAGTCCCCTGGATTTGTAGCGTTCGATGGTGATCGCTCGGGTCGGTCGTCGTGCTGTCGTTTCATGTCTTTGACAAGAGCGTAGAAGAAAGGGGTGTTGGAGACGATGCATGCACAGAAAATCTCAACCGAAGCCCACTACACACGTTAATAAAAGGAAAACATCGGGAATTAGAGGAGAAAATACCATTGATCGGGATCGTTGAGACACGGATTCGTTGAGGATGAGAGGGAGGCGGAGGATCGTAATGGCTACCAGGACAGCGCCGACGCTGAACAAGAAGCCGAGCTGTAGTTTCTCCTTGATATCGAGCCGGAGATGTCGAAGCATAGGAAACGGGAGGATTATAAGCGCAATGTTTATTATTATGTTGCAAACTGCCATTAGTATCAGGTTGCCGACGGCGCGATTGCATGCGACTTCTGTGGTGATGTTAGCTGACATGAGGTGGCGAAAACTTTTCGTCGCTGCTTACTCGTATCATCGTCATTAAGCGCCCACATTCTATCATCTCGTTAGCAATGCCTGGAGACAATTTGTAGGTGGAACGTACAGTGATAGAGGGCGACATTCGGCGAGAGTTGTTATAAAGACCGCGATGAATGTGGCGATGATGAACCACCAAAGCGCATCCGTGACGGGTTTGCCCCAGCGGAAGACATGGATGAAGCGAGAATAAAAGGCCAACAGCCCCAGCTTCAAACACCATAAACTATCCAAAATCAGCAAATCCCCTCTCAAACGTATCTTGGCACATACAACAGGGCATAGAATATCCGCGCCGGTATGAGCAGCTTGTGCGAAAGCTCTCTATCCCCATCAATACTCTCCACGCTCTCCCCCCAAGTCTGCGCGTCCGCCTGCGTCGCAGGATCATACGTGTGGTCCGGATTCAGCCTGAACGAGATGAGTACGCACACAGCGCGCCCGATGAGCGGCAGTATCGCGATGGTCATGTAAAAGTCGTCGATGCGCCATCGTCGGTGGCATGTTTTGTGGATGTGACAGCGGAATATGAGGCGGTACAGACACCTAGCTAGTATGAGGGCGACGCATATAGCAGTCGATGCTAACCTGAGGGCTGCGTCCGGGGACGATGCCATGCCTGCTCATGGTGTTGTTACACTGGAGGTCATGTTATTGTGAGAAAAGAGAGAGCGAGATTGTGGAGGAGAGCGAGATGGATGGATGGGGTTGGGGGAGGCGAATTGCCGGGTTGCGGGGAACGGGTCGTTACCCAAGGGAAAGGATCCGGGGATCATTCAAATCCCTCGTGAGTGGGCGCTTCGGTTACGGGGTGTGATGTTGAAGGATTCAGACTAGGGCTGTTGAGCTAACGACTGAGCTATCGTTCAACGGGCATCGTTGCGCCCACTTCAAAGCGCACACGTTGACCCGAGTAATGTTTCATTCTCTGTGAGAAATCTTCATTTCGTCACTCTGATCGTTGTGCAAACGGTCGGCGATCCTTGCATTTTGACATGCAGGGGACCTTGCACTGTCTCAGATGAAGGACAAGACTTTTAATTGATGGTGATTTGTTTCTGCGGCGTAGCAGCGTTGCATTTTCTAATTAACGGCTTTTCTCAAAAACTGGGAACGGCAAACTCTAAATGGCACTGTTGTTTGCAAGGCGCGTGCTTCAATCTGGACCGTTTCATCCCCGTTGAAAGCTCATTTTGGTGACTTGGTGACTGGTCTCTGCCGCTTTGACTCTCAGCGCACCGTTCCGAGCGGAAGTCAAAGTGTTGTACAGCGACGATCACAGCAACGGTTGGCGATAAACGAATGTCACGCGTGGAGAAGTGCACGCACAGACTGTCGCTTCGAGACTCGTGATGTCGGTCCGCAGGATGGTTTAGCGTCGGCGTAGTAGCTGAGCTTCGGAATGTGGCATTTTAGTTCGTTGACCGCCCCAACTCAACCTCACCCCTCAGTTCAATCGTAATTAACCATGGCTTATGGTGGAAGGCTGGCGTTGCATTATAGACTTGATCTGATAAATTTAACATTTCCACAAAGAGAACAAAGATATGACGTTTATTTCCTCTGTAGACAACGTAGCTATTAGTTACTACCCTGTAGCGTAGCATTGTTGCTTAATCATCACAGTAATCACAGATTCACAGTCGTTGGGCAGCAACTCGTCGTTTGACTGCCAGCCTTGCGCAGACATGTGCAACTCCTCATAGAAAACAGACGATGAGATCAGTGGCCTGAGCCTCTCTGAGCATATTGATGCACCAGGATCTCGCAGCGGCTGCTTTTGTCATACGCGCAGATAATGTCTAACGATACACCCCGTCCACCGCCGGCGCCTCCGCTGCCGCCTGCTCTCCCGAAGAAACAGTCGAAAGCATCTTCCTTCAGGCCGAGAGTGAGAAGAGACCCGGAAGACTGGTTTTACCAGCCTCCTAGGCATGCAGCCCAAGCCGATCTCTTCGAGCCACCTACAGGACCCTATTTCGTGTACGGAACATTGATGAATTCAAAGATGCTCGCCGATATCCTCAGGCTGAAAGAAAAGCCCACGATGCGGCCCGCCAAGATCAGAGGCTACACACGGAAACTCTGGGGACAGTATCCTGCTATGCAAGATGGCCCGCAGGATGCAGAAGTCTGTGGTTCTGTGTATCATGTGCAGTCTGTTGCTCATGCGAAGAGATTGGCGCAGTACGAGACCAACAGCTACAAAGCCAAGCCATGCCTTATTCGGTATACAGACGGAAAGGAACCTGCTGACGATTCTGGCCATGTGTTCATGTTCGTTGGTAATCCACGGGATTTAAGGGAGGGGGAGTTTGATCTGGGAGAATGGTTGGAACGAATGGGACGATCATCTGCATAAGGATGTAAAATGTAATTGAGTGAACACTATACCAAGGAGACTTTACTCTATGCCTTGAGCTCTTGGTACATACCTCGGCAATACCAAGAATTACTTTAGGTTTCGTCTCAAACGATTTATTTAGGTATCTCATTTGGCGGCAAGTCTGTCTAACTAAACCTTTTCTATTACCTTCATATCAACGCAAAGCAGTAAACTAGACAAACTATACAAATCTAGAAATCTTCTGCCGCCAGAAATCAGCTGCAATCGTCAGACCAAACAGCCGGTTTAGAGCTCCACTACTCACTCGGTAATCCAGGCCAAAAATTGACAGGTATCATTTAGTAAACGAATATTGATCACCCTTGCTAATGGATGACTAAGATCATGTTGTTCCCGTTAGGATTTATGGCCTAGCTAAACCATCATCGGAACTTGGTGCGATTAAGGTTGAGAGTCATGATGAGAAAAAATAACTTTGGTGCACGGCCATTCACGTAAATCAGTCAGAGAGTGTAACGGGCTTTGAACTATTTTTTCGATCAATTGGAGGCTTTATCGTTTTATCTATTATTATCTTAAGAGACTCCATCCTAAGAGATTCCATCTTAGGAGACTCCATCTCGAGAATGTCGATTATCAGGTAATCACCAACTCGTAAATTATACCGTTCACAAGATTCAGATTTTACAAGAGCTCTGCTTATAGAGTATTGCCGCCTAGCTTATGATGTCCCGGAATGGATTTAGGGAACAGGGATTTCTAAAACCTTTTCAGACTGATTTTGATATCAACGAAACTATAATAAAGAGCGCTCATATTCTTTCACTGGTATAGCTCCACGCATTTCAGTCAGTTGGTCTCTCAGACATGTCTGAAGATACTGTAGGTGATTCGATCCGGACATCCAATAGCTTAGGACATTATTAACTTAACACCTGAAGTATACATATCATTACTTCCTTGTCATTGTCTAATGTAACCTCAGCCTGTATACTTCTCCCACTTCGCACAAAAGGCCAGAAAGTTCCATATTTCTCGGTCCAACCCGAAGTGGGATCACTACGGCAAGCAGCAGTGTTGCATTGAGCGTGCGATAGAGGGTTGGTGTTGCATTATCTCACCTGCATGTGCGGCAAAGACTTTTGGGACCAATCCATGTATGTAGTACGCCCAGGACAGCCAAGAACCGTGATACGGAACAAAAAGGCTCGACCACGTGGTATGCTAACCATATTGACTGTAACCCTACTTCTTATCTCGGTGCTGACAGTGGTTCGACTTCTCACATCCTTCAACGACCGAAGTATCCCACTTGATTTGTAACCATCTTGTAAGATAACGGAGCCGGCCGCGCCGAAGATTGGTCGGAAGGCCTCCAGAGGATCCATGAGCA